AGGCCAGGAGGACAATGTTAACATTTTAAATCTTGTAATATGAGTTAAAAGTTGCTTACTAAAATAACATTAATAATAATATTAATAACAGTCTAAAAAGCTTGTTATTTTAAATTTAACCTACTTCAGGTAAGAGCAAATGCCTTCTTATTATTGTCAGACTAGCTACTCAACATTACAAAATGAATATCTGCCACATCTGGGGAAGTCAACAGGCAACGGGCATATGATACTTTCATTGTTTGGCTTTTGAAAAAAAAAACAAAAAAAAACACGCTGTGATCGTTTTTTGTTTCTTCATTACTGCTACAGGCATAAAATCAGCTAGCTCCTCTTACGACTCCACCAGGGATTGCCTGGCCTGTAGGCCAGGAGGACAATGTTAACATTATAAATCTTAAAATTTCAGTTAACAGTTGCTGCTTACTAAAATAACATTATACATAAAAATAACAACATTAAAGATATTCACCTACAGCCTAGAATGCTGTTATTTTACATTTAGCCTACTTCAGTTAATTCCAAATGCCTTCTTATTATTGTCAGACTAGCTACTCAACATTACAAAACAAATATTTGCCACATCTGGGAAAGTCAACAGGCATAAGATATTTACATCCTTTGGTTCTTGAAAAAAACGCTGTGATTATTTTTCTTTCTTCTCTGGTTTCATGTGGCAGAAAAATCACCAGCTCAGTCATTATACAGTTGTATATGATCACTATGGTTACCGCTACAGGCACAGGCACAGCTACCAGCTCCTCTTAGGACCCCCGTTCCTTATGGTGCGTTACATTTACACTGGAAGTCTGAACTCGGAGCTCCAAACAACGTAACCTCTGAACTGAGCACTTCCCAGTTTAAACACTGGGAAATGGAACATGGAATTCGAAAAAAATGGACAGTTAATGAAATGAAACGAAAACCCCTACGTTTATGCTTGTAGATGCTAGATTTCAATGCTTTTCCGACTTCAAAACTCCGACTTACGAGTACAACTGAACGCACCATTAGTCGTAGCACAAACACCGGGCTATCAATGGATCAGCTGTGCAGTGTTAGTGGAAAATTGAACACCTTGCTTTCCCAACTCAGCAAGGATCTGCTCCAGCCTTTCCCCTTCTTGAATCGGTGTAATGTGGATTGATCACTGACAAGGCTACTGCAGCTGCCATTTCAACTTTGTGCTGCAATATAAGTTAGCCTAACTAACGGAACATTGATCCTCTTTTTTTACCTATGTGTGGGGGGGACAGTGGGGGGACGGAGCGGGGTCACTATAAATTTGGGGGGGGGGACATGTCCCCCCGTCCCCAGTGCCATCTGTGCGCATGTCTGAAAGGACTTTCTTTGTGGCCATAGGCAACTATAAATTCTCCACCAGCCAGTTCACTCAAAGTGTGCCTCAGGGTTCAGTCCTCGGTCTGTTATTCTCCATTTATATGCTACCTCTAGGGTCAAAACTTTCAATAAGCACGATATCAGTATGCAGATGATTCCCCAGTTTTTTTGATTCCAAAAACACAATGGAACTGAGCAAACTAGAATCCTGCCTTCCATATATTAAAAACTGGCTATCACAAAACTTTAGTTAGTTAGATATATCAGAAGAATCAGTTATGGATATTCACATTTACAGATTTTTCAATTTGTGTTGTCAGGAAGAAGAATGAGTATGAAATAGCAATTTATTGGCATTTCATATATGCTACCTGTTAACCAGGTGATAAATAATTCTAGCACTGCTGTACTGACATGTTAGTGAAATGACTGCCTTCTGATGGTTATGTTGTATGACACCAGAAACATGAGTATAAATTGACAGCAGATGTACTGTGTATTCAGATATATTGCATCACAATGAGGGTAAGAGGGGGCAGAGTTGGCTTATTAACTTAACTGCTACACACCCCCTTACTAGGCTAACATCATTGTTTTTTCTCGTTTTCTCCATCCACAATAAAGTGTGCAGTGTTTTTAGATGTATCCACTCTGGAGAGATGTGAAAAATGTGGATGTAGTGTGGACACAAGGCCCAAATGTAACAACAGTACATACTAATGTAACAAAGTTAAACAATGATTAGTTTGTTAGCATTCAGTGAACTACAGCTCCCATCAGGGTTCCCACACATTTTTACCAATTAATTTACAAAACGTTTCCATAACTTTTCCATTATGTTTTTTGCCATTTCCATGACTTAATTTAAATTGAGCCTACATCCAGCGCAGCTAGGATTTGCCTCTATATTGAGCCATCTATTATATTTGTCGTTCAAAAGCTATATATCATTAAACAGGCACCTACCAGGCATTTGCAAACTGCTAGCACTTACTAACCATACTCGCTCATTAGACAATTGCGCTGCCAACCAGCTGAATATGCCAATGTGTGTTATGTGATACTTGTGATGTTTTAATGATTACATAGCGCTAGACTTTATACAAGTAATACATGAACATATTTTGAGTAACTTTGGATATTTTAGTATATA